AATGTACTTACGATGTTTTGCCTGAATGGATGGAGCCATTCTAGTATGCAGGCACACAAGCGTTGCAACTTCATTCGTGGGACACAGTATGTATTCTCCATATGATGTTGCCTTCTTTACATAACACTCTTTCCAACAGATATTCCATCCTTCTGGCTCTGATGACAAGTGGGATAATTTACAGCCATATCAAAGTAGGCACGTACAATGGCGATCACTTTCTCAACTATCTTCATGGACTCCTTGACATCATGAATCCATATCTGGCCCCTCATAGTGTACTTGTGATGGATAATTGCAGAATCCATCATGTTGATGGTGTAGAAGAACTCTGCTGGGAATGGTATGTTTTTTTTTTCTTTTTTTTTTTTTCAGTACACATACTCAAGTAACTATTACAGTGGTGTCAAACTTGTTTATCTACCTCCATATTCCCCTGATTTGAACCCAATTGAAGAGTGTTTCTCATACTTGAAGGCCTACATTTGCCACCATGGCAATCAGTTCCATGCTATCATTGAATCTGGAGACAAAACACTTCCATATTTGTTTCTCTATGGCGCACTTGATACAGTCACTCCAGAAGCTGCACGTGGGTGGTTCCATAATGCAGGATATTTGTAGCTTTGTAGCTTGTGTCTGTATGCAACATGTATGTTGGTTGTCACACTGATGCATACCCAAAATTTGTGCAATGTATGCTTGCTATAACAATTACTGTGAAGGACATGATGTATGTAGGGAGTATCTACTCTACCCTTGTGTGTTTTTTGCATTCCACCTGCCAAACAGCTTGTGCAACCTCAGACAGTAAAAAGTGTGAATTCCCAAGGCTCATACCAAAGTCCTTCATGAGCTGTTCCTCACTCAGGCTTCTAAGTTTGTCAATGTTGTAAAAGTCCATCACTTCGAATTGTGGAATATAAACAGATAGTTTGTGCTTCGGAAAACTTGCATCGAGCTTGGTGAGGAAGTCGACGATCATTGGATATGTTGGCCAGGTGTCATGGTTGAGCTCACTGGGAGACAGCTCACCTTGCTTCTCACCCACGGTAGGTGTCACTGGAGTTGCTGGAGCCTGATACACTGGAGGCACCATCCACAGAGGCATCATTGGGGGCATGGGGGGCATGGGGGGCCATCCATACATCGACATATAGGGACTGTTGAGGGGCATTTGTGTGGCTGATGTCGACGAGGTCTTGTCACTTTGTGGAGCATGGAATTCTGAAAATAGATCGCCTTTTGGTGGGGTCTTCAGCATGACTCCATGCATCTCATGTCCCTGTCACTGTCAGTAAATTGATCAATGTAGCCACTAACAATGAAACTTACAAGTGCAAGTGCCCACCCTCAACACTGGTTGAATGTCAGGTTTACATGTTGGCCAGCACGGTTGATCTTGCAGTATTTGGAGGGACCACAATGCTGACACAACTTCAGTGACTTCTCCAGCTCCATGAGGGATTTGTTTTCCTTTTCAATTGCAGCGCTGTCTTCATCATCTGCACTGGATCTGTCATTGTCAAGATCGAGAAGGGGAGGATTTTTGCCTTTTCCTGGTGGCTTCTTCTTGCCATGCATTGCATGTAGGGTAGACATATACTAGTTTTGACAATGAATAAGTATCATACTAACCACAAAACAATTTGAAATGCACCTGTTCACTAACAAGAATCTTGACTGAGACATCCGAGTCTTTCTTCTTCTTCCATGCAGAATTTACCTCCTCTAAGCATCCATCCCAGTCAGCCGGCGTTGCAAGATTGATGGCATCATCCTTCTGAGCAGAAGTTGAGAGCTTGTACGAGAGCGTAGGTTTGCATGCAAAATTCTGACACCCAATAGTGCTGTAGATTTCATCCAGGACCTCTGAAAATGGAGTCCATTGTGAGAAAACAAGGCACTTGGATCCCTCATTTGCCACTTGAGGCACCAGTAAAATGACATCTAATAAATCAGGGTAGTAAGGGGCGACAAGTACATTGCAAGATGAAATAACATACTTTTGTCAAGTTCTGGGGAGTTTTCCTTGCAAGATACTCGCTTGATGCTGAGCCAGATGGATTTTCACTTGAGTGTGTCAACAGGAGAGTGTGCCGAAGTGCCATCAGTGTCATCAGGTGTGATACCAAGGCCATCCTTGTCAAGGTCAGGAGTTTCTGAATGAGGTGCCATGTCCTGGGAACAGATGGAGCTAGTGTCAGGAACTTGATTGATGGGCAAACTGCTTTGGGAGCCAGTTTTTCGCAGCCTGCGAGCACTCACAGACTTTTTGTTACCCATGAGGAAGACATGTTGTGTGTGGTGCATGTCTGGGATGAGGCTCATTAGTCAGCACGCACAACTTACACACAAAGATAAGACAGGCATGGACAACTACCTCAACAAGTGCGAAACAAAGTGCATTTCTGTATGATACTGTTCCCTAGGTATTTTGAAGGGCTTTATGGATCTGAAACTTTTGTAAAAAAATATGCAATGTGGAGTGAGCAATTTTTGTTACATGATTGGCACCATTTGGAGTGTAGATTGCTCTCTGTTGGTACAAAACAATGGAAAAACCACTGGATTTTCACCATGGTTCCCTCACCACCAGTGTATAGATCATGGCTAGAGGCATTTACAGCCATAGAAATGTGTAAATCACTTGCAATTGTTGTTATATGCTCAGAATGACCAAGTATTTTTTCCTGTCCAAAATAGCAGCTATTTCATCATGATTTCTACATCATCCCCTAGAGCTGATAATGCTGATTCAGAATATCAAATTTTCTTTCAGATCCATCAAGAATTGAGTGAAATATTTGAGATATATATTTTATCTAGGATACCTATGAGTTTTGTTGTGTTTGGCCAGTGCCCTTGGTACTGCAAACTGCTGTAATACTTCCCTGTCCAGAAACACTGTCCATCTGTCATCCCATCTTTGGATCTAGTGATGTCTCTGCTGAGATCTGACATGCATTGCCACCCCCTAATGTGATATCAGTATGCTTACTCAGATTTTGACATTCTTTGACTCATACGGTGATATTTTGACTATCCTCGACTTGTTTGTTGTCAATACTTACCAATCTTCTATGCTTGCTTACTTTTCATTTCCCACTTACTCATCATGATTACTAATTGCTTACAGTCCTTACTCATTACTTACCAAGTGTTTATGCCTCATTTGTCATAGGCTGTGCCCCCCCATAGTATATAAACCCCCTGTACTTAACTACAAAAAAACAATCAAGAAGTCAGTCAGTTCAGCTCATTTCAGTCCTAACTTGTCATTGACAGTTGAGGCTCCATGAATGGGTCTATCTGTCATCATTCATATCCTTGGTAGTTGAGGCTCATTTGGAAGGGTCTATCTACCACCATCCATTGTCAGCATTGTCATCTGTGCTTAGTCAGCACATTTTTGCTTAGTCATCCCTCTCCTCCTGTGTAACTTGATGCTGACTTATGCCAGGAGTCCTTTTGGCTGAATACCTTTGCCCTATTCAGCACCCCCAATCAAGTCTTCATTCATTCACCTACTCCTGTGTAACTCATCATTGACTTGCACCAGGAGCACTCTATATTGAAGGTCATTACTGTAGCTAGCATCCTTCTCACAGTCATCCCTCATTCATCTACTCCTGCATAACTTGTCAACAACTTGCACTAGGAGCACCTGCCACTGAAATTCCCCACATTAGATTTTTCTGCCCTCCAAGTACTGCAGAGGCAAACCACCACTTGCTCTTATTTGTCTTCGGTGTTGGATTTGGTTGGTTTCTACCAGCTTTCCACACTTTGACTCACACTGGGACAGAGGTAGCATTTGATGGAGCAGTCTCAGCAGGCATGGAGTCTGGATACTGGTCTACCATGGTGCAAGAAATTGGGACATGTGCAGATGTGGCTACTTGAGCAGTAGATGAAGGTAGGGTGGGTCTTGAAGTCAGAGATGACTTGAGCTAAGGGATGGAAATGGTTAAGAGAGTGGGGTTCAGTGCAGGATGACCATAGGATGGGTTGTGCAATTCCAAAGGCTGTGGAGGAAATTGCACAGCATTGGGAGGGAATAGCTCATCAGATGGATTCTGGAAATTATATAAGTTGAACCCTGGAGTCAGACATGCAGAATCACCTCCTGCAGGGCTGAAGGTGATGGGAGGAAAGGTGAAAATGTATTGGTCCATGCTATAGATAGAGCATTGAGGCACAAAGTCTATAGTATTGTTGCATGTCTCCAAATCCTGGAAAAAAAATAAACATTTGACAGCATGATATTGAGTGGATGACATTGGTGTACTCTGTCATTAGGATGATCAGGTACAATATCTACAACTCAATATAAGACCATGTGGACCTGTGGGGGCATCAGCATGATACAATAATATACTAGTTGTGATGTGAGTAATGGGCTATTGATAACACTTACCATGGATGAAGCCAATATCCTGCTGTCAACTTGCCAAAGTTGAGTGGGCACTAGTATGGCTGCCATCATATCATAATATCTGCATTAATGGGAACCATCTAATCAGCATTTTGTTTTCTTTATGATACTATGAATGCAATTACTGCACAGCTTGGGGAAATTTGGATAGACAGGTTTTGATGATCACATGGAAGTCCATACAATAGAACTCTGGATAATAAGGCCATTAATTCACCTATGCTAGAAAAGATTTCAGTACCTACAGAACTGCAGACTTGTATGAACAAGTGTTTGACTTGCTCACATCCTTATTGACTGAACTACACTTTTTCGAAGTCAAATTAGATGACCATGCACCTATATCCCCATTGTCTCAGCGTGATGGTGGAAGCTTACACAGCCTGGTCCTTGATCTGGAAGGGCTTGAGTGGAGGGGGATTTTTTGATTCAGATGAGCAATATACCCAGGAAGAACAGCAGAGGAGTAATGGCATGGACACCAGACTACTCAGTGTACTGGTGTTAGACATCTTCTGTAAGTCAATCCAACTGTAGTACAGGTGTGGATACTCACAGCATAGTAGGTGCTGAGAAGATATCTATAACTGTAGGGCCTACTGATCATTACCTAACTCCAGCTCTTGCATGCCACAGTCTAATCCTGTGCTCTCCCATTACCCCCAAGGTTGCCATTACAGTGCAAGCTCTTGACCTGTACCACACTGTTCATCAACATTGCCCCCATCTTTCCATCCAGGGATATGTCAAATTGCTCTGTGACATACATAGGGTTTGTGATTAATATATATTCCAAGATACCTGAATGCTAACCCTTGATCATCCAGGTCCCATTTCACAATCACTGCTCACATCAATTTTCCATCACACTTGACATTTACTTGCAAATTTTAGCACTTGTCTTGAACCTTGTGCACCAGGCACTGCAGTGTGATCAACCAGACTGGCAGCTCAAGCACAGCTGTTCTTCTTGTACTTACAAATTGCAGGACAAGCTGGCAATGTGATTCAAGATGCTATTTGCTCAGGATGGGAATGTCTCTCTCAAGAGAGTGGTGACCAGGGTACTGGACAGCAACCTCAATGATGCTGCCCCTCTTACTGCTTCTCATCCTATGCTGGAGGGTATGTTTCATCATGAACAATACCTGACCCATGATTTTGTCAAGAAATTTGCATCCAAGTGGCAGACAGTGTCGAGAATGCATTCCAGAATTACAGTAGCCTCTTGGAGTTTTGCCCAGAGGGCTCGGAATTTCTCCCCAACCCTCAGAATTAAATTCCAATGTCACTACACTTACTAATTACTGTACTATAAATTTTCCACACCATTGTTTTCCACCTCAGTGACTACTTCATACACTGAGGTGAGTATAGCTAGATTCCTGCTTGTTTACATGGTACCAACATAGTGTAGAAACTCATACCTTCATTAGGTACTAATATAGTGACTACTTCATACACTGAGAAACTCATACCTTCATTAGGTTATGAGTCCTGCTCTCATGCTCTAATTCCAAAAGAGTTATTACACAGCAACAATACCCACTATGGTGAAAGATGATCATTCCTTACAAGTTCCAACCCTAAATGCAGACAGAAGCAACTGGCTATATTACAAGGCTCAGGTTGAATGGGCCATCAGTTCGAAAGGGCTGATTGGACACCTGACTGGCTTGGATGCGAAACTGGAGGACCCTTCAGTGGGAAAAGACTCCTCCTAGAAGCCCACAGCCACAGAGAAAAAACTTGTCAATGAATACCCAGAAAAACTCCAGCAATGGGCAAAGGATGATGGATACATCAAGCAAGTGATCACTGTGTCACTCCTGGAATCACTGTTCCTTTGAGTTCTGAAGGAAGAGACTGCGAAGAGTGTGTGGGGTGTCCTCACTGACCTCTTCCAAAACCACTCTTGCATCATTGCAATTGATCTTCAGAGAAAACTCCAAGAATCCTGCTGTGCAGAAAAAGGCGATGTCCATGCTCACTTCAACAAGATGCATGCAGTGTATGAACAACTTGCTGCACTTGGACAGTCTATCACAAATGACAACTTTGCAGCCATCATTCTCAGTTCACTTCCCACTTCATATGACTCCAACCTTGCAGCTATGATGTCTTCAGCCCTGGTCATGCAAAAGGACCTATCTCCAGACTTTATAATCAAAGTAATTTCTGACAAATATGATAGGCACCAAACATGGACAAAGAGAGGCAATTCTGGAAACTCTGGAAATTCCAAGGATGCAGCCTATTCAGCAAAGGATGGAAAGAAATCTACTTGTGAAAATTGTGGAAAGAAAGGTCATGTGCCAGACCAATGCTGGGAAGAGGGTGGTGGAAAATCTGGGCAAGTGCCCAAGTGGTTCCAGAACAAGGGCAAAGGGAAAAAGAAGGAGAAAGGCACTGGAAAAGCAGCCACTGCAGCCAGTGCATCAGCCAGCTCAAGTGCACAGACCAGTGCTGACTCAGAACCTGATGGAGTTTGGCTAGTGCACCCATGACAACTGGCTAACAGAAGTTGTGGAGGAAGAAATTCCACATCCCCAGGACATTGTTATCAATGAAGAAGATGTGTATATGAACACCTATGATCATGCTCTGCTCACAGGTGAAAACCTAAATTCTGCAGAAGAGACCATCCTGTTCAACTCTGGCACTTCATGTCATATGTCCTCCTACCACAGCAAATTCCTTGATTACAAGCCAATCATTCCCAAACCTATTACTGCTGCTGACAACCACACCTTCCATGCCATCAGGAAAGGTGACCTTGCAATCTCACTCCCAAATGGCACTGCACAAACCCACATTTGACTCAAGGATGTGCTCTACATCTGCAAGATGGGAATTATGATCGTTTCTGTTAGCAAACTTGACATTGCTGGGTATGCAGCATTATTCCAAGACAAGTTTTGTCAAATTTTCGATGCTTGGAAAAAGAAAGTAGCCAAAATTCCGATGCAAAAAGGCCTATACTGTCTCAAACAAGCTTGTCGCACCTTTTCAGGCCTAGCTAAGGCCATTGAATCGCTCACCATGGAGGAGATACACATCAGGCTTGGCCACATTGCTCCTGAAGCCATCTGGCACATGCTGAAAGATGGCACAATCAGCAGAATTAAACTGGACAAAGCACATTCCACCATGGGCATGTGCAATTCATGCAAATATGCCAAAGTGACTTGGAAGCCCATTGGGAAGGAGCACAACCCACCCTGCCATGAACATCTAGGCAACAAGGTCCACATAGATCTCTGGGGACTACTGGCTACAGTCAGTACTACATGTCATTCACAGATAACCACACTCATTACACCACCCTGTTTTTGCAAAAGATGAAGGCTGAAACCTTCAAGTCCTACAAAGCCTACAAAGCATGGCTGAACACACAATTCAACACCAAAGTCAAGTGACTTCACTTGGATCATGGGGGAGAATATCTTAGTATGGAATTTTCAGAGTATCTGAAATCCTGAGGTACAGAACAATGCATAACCATCCATAATACCCCCAAACACAATGGAGTTGCAGAACAACTCAACAGAACACTCATTGAGCATGTACATGTGATGATTCATGCCAGCAGCCTACCCAAGAACCTCTGGGGGAAGGCCGTCATGCATGTGACCTGGCTCAAAAACCACTCATTGACTTACCATCTAGGCACAAAAACTCCCTATGAAATGCTCTACCAAAGACCACCTGACCTCTTAAAAATTCCAGTCTGGGGATGTCATGTCAAGGTCCATGACACCTCTGGCTCCAAACTAGACATGTGAGCCCAAGACAGACACTGGGTAGGATTTGATCCTGAGAGCAATGGCCACCACATCTACTGGCCAGACACATGAGCAATCAGCATAGAACATAGCATCATTTTCAAGTGCCAGGAAGTGTCTGTACCTTCAGGTGTGCCGCTTGAGGGGGAGCAGGGAAATTCCAAAGCCTCACAAGGAAATTCCAAGGCTACACAGACAGTCGAGCAACCCACTAAAGCAACTTCAGAAATTCCAAGACTCATTTTGGACCCACTCAGAGAAAATTTCGAAACACCTCCACCTCAACCTCATCATTCCACTCACCAGCACTTTGAATCAGACTATATGAGGCGCTTATGTGCAGGTGAAGGAACTCACAATGGGTGCATCACTCTCAACTTCATAAAAGAACTCTGAGAGAGTGACAGCAACCCTAACAGCCCTAAATCCCAAGAGAATGCCACCTACATATTTGACGAAGAACTAGCTACCAATGAAGATGACACTAATATCATGTATGCTATGGTGGCAGGGGTGGCTGAAGCCAAAGGGCTGGATCCATCGACAGTACAGGAGGCAAAATCCTGAGCTGACTGGCTGAAGTGGGAAAATGCCATAAATGCGGAATTAAAGAGCCTAGAGGAAGCACATACCTGGGACATTGTTGAGTGCCCCAAAGGTGCAAATGTCATAGGATGCAAATTGGTCTTCAAGATCAAATGCAACACTGCTGGAGAAATCAAGAAGTACAAGGCCCACCTAGTCACTAAGGGCTACTCTCAGATCCAGGGCATTGACTATGACGAAACATATGCTCCCATTGCAAGACTCACATCTCTCCACATCATACTGGCAATTGCTGCATGCAATGACTGGGATATTGATGTATTTGATTTCCACTCAGCATTCTTAAATGGCACACTTGGAGATGGCAAAGACATCTGCATGGAGCTCCCTGAGGGCCATGCTGTAGGGTGGAATTTTTCCCATCCAGTTGGGAAGCTAAATGTTGCATTATATGGCTCGAAACAAGGCATGCTTTGGTGGTACCAGAAGCTGTGTGCTACCCTCACAGATCTTGGGCTCACCAGAGCACACACAGACTGGGGAGTATTCTACAGTTGCATAGGATCAGAAATTCTCATCCTTGCCAGCCACATTGATGACTGCACTGTAACAGGCAGTTCCCCATTGTTAATTCACTCATTCAAACAGGAGATAAGCACTCATTTCAAAATCTCTGACCTGGGGCCCATCAGTTGGCTACTTGGAATGAAGGTGACACAGAATAGAGAAGCCTGCACCTTATCCCTGTTGCAGCAGTCCTACATTGAGGCCATCCTGACAAAATATAACCTCACCAACTGCAAGCCTGCCACAATTCCGATGGACCCTGGCATAAAACTCTCCCATGGAGAAATTCTTCAGCCAGCCAAAGAAGCTGCACACATGAAAAATGTACCCTACCATGCCACTGTTGGCTCCCTCATGCACCTCACTGTTGGAATGCACCCTGACATTGCATTTGCTGTCTCCACAGTCACACAGTTCAACAACACACCCAACATGACTCGCTGGGAAGCCATGAAACAAATCTACAGGTATATCTCAGGCACAAAAGTGCTTGCTTTGACATTCAGAAATTCAGAATGAGACCTTGAGGGCTATACTGATGCAGATGGAGCTTTGCAGGAGCATCAATGCACTATAAGTGGATATGCCTACCTACTAGATGGTGGAGCTGTTAGTTGGGCTTTGCAGAAACAAGAACTCATCACACTCTCAACTGCAGAAGCAGAGTACATTGCAGCAACTCACACAGCCAAAGAGGGCTTGTGGCTTCAATGACTCATTGGGGAAGTTTTCCAACCACTCAAGTACCCCATTCCATTATATTCTGACAGTCAATCCACCATTGCACTTACCAAAGATGGCAGCTATGATGCTCACACAAAGCACATTGACACATGATACCATTTCATTCATTTTGCTGTGGAAAATCATTCCTTTCACCTTATTTATTGTCCTACTGACAACATGGTCGCCAATACCCTTACCAAACCATTACCTAGCATCAAGGCGAAACACTTTGCATCTGCACTTGGACTCCATTCCAATTGAGGGGGAGTGTCAAGAATGCATTCTGGAATTATGGTAGCCTCTTGGAGTTTCACCCAGAGGGCTCGGAATTTCTCCCTGACCCTCAGAATTAAATTCCAATGTCACTACAC